ATCTTGTAACGGATTCAACTCCGATTTTCCTGTTTCCTGTTCCCTTTGTCTGACATCATAGCTTCCCTTTGTAGACTTTAGTTTCCCGTCGCTTGCGACGGATCTTTCGGTCCGATCTTTCCGCCTCTTCCGTAGATATGTTCCCTTTGTGTTCCATACGATATCTCTCGTCTCCGTATGTTCCCTTTGTGCGCCGAACGGCGCCTCCGATCTCCGACATCTCCGACTTTACCATTGTTCTCTTTTGTACATATAAACCGTCGAACTGTACCGTAGATAGTCAGTTCGAATATCGACTAAGCTTCACTCTATTCCTCCTGCGGACTCAGAGCGCGTAGCAGCCTAGCGCACGAGCTTAGGCTTGGTCCGCATCCGATCTCGACTCCACCAACGTTTCCGACTTATCGACTTCACGCCGACGCGTCTCCGACGCGTCTCTGACTCCGCTCCGACTTCACTCTTGAGTTCCTCCCTTCTATTTTATTCTATTCTACGTATATACGTTTCGGACTTCGGTCCTCCGACTCCGTTACCCCTTGCCTGTATCTGATCTTGACACACTGGTAATGTGGCAGTGCACAAGGGCGGTCACAATGGTATCTTTCTCGATATTCTCCTGTATCATCTCTTGTTATGATATTGTTTTACAAGAGAAATATTAAGGAGAGATTTGGCGCAGCACAGGGGTCCAGTATCTAGAGGGAAAGGATTAGCCGCGATGGCCACAGGATGCCAAAGATGGCCCAGTGTGACAACAATGCCGCGTCACGTCCCGTCACGCCACCTCACAGACCTGGCGGGAAACGGCCTCCGTACATGAGGGACCTGGGAGATGAAAGTGGCGTCGTGGCGCGCCAACACCGCGCGCGAGCATCCCCCAACCTCGCTCACGTCACTTTCGTCCTCGGACGGTGCGCACGAACATACAAGACCACCGAGACCGCGATGGTTGCAGACCAAAGCGAACAAGCCACGTCTGCGGAAATCCCGTCTACCCCCACCTCGCGAACGGCTGCCTGGCCGTTCGATGATATCGAAACGGACTTGATCATACGCTCCTCCGATGGCGTTGACTTCCATGTCCTCCGAAAGATCATGTCAATTGCGTCTCCGAACATCAAGTCTCGTCTCGCGGTCCTTCCATCTGCAGTAGGTGGGCCCCAAATCCTGGAAATTCCGACGGACAGCACGACGCTGGATCAGCTCCTTCGTCATTGCTACCCAGTGGATTTCCCTTCCTTTGCTCATATCGAACAATTGGAACCTGTCCTGGGGCTTGCTATGGCCTACGAGATCAAACTGGCAGTCAGCGTTCTTACGGAACGCCTGCGCACGAACCTGAACGCATCGACCTGGGATGCGCTCAGGGTGTATGCATGCGCATGCCGCCTTTCTCTATATTCAGAGAAACACCTGGCTCTCGGAATGCTGGGGAGTAGACAAGCTGAAGATCTGGACAGTCCAATATTTGATAATATCGCCGCCACGGACTACATACAGCTCATCAAGTATAATCGCAAGCCAAACACTCGTGGTCGACCCCATTCCAGCTTCTATTCCAACAAGAGTGCTGCTGATGCTAGTGCAGTATCACCATCACGCCAGACCTTCGACGATCCACTTGCGGATGTCACATTGCGATCATCCGATGGTGTAGGTTTCCGCCTCTACAAGGTCATGCTATCCTTTTCCTCTCCATTCTTTCGCGCCATGTTCTCCTTGCCGCAGGAAGCAGCGCATGCGACCGGCGGCCCGTCAGATCCCCCCGTGATCGACGTCTCGGAACGTAGTCCCACCTTGCGCGACCTTCTCCCATTGTGTTACCCACCCTCCCCCATAGACATACCTCTTACGACGAATTTGGATCGGCTGCACGATGCATTACAAGCGGGACTGAAGTATGACATGTCAGCCGCGGTCAGGGTACTATGCACTCACCTCGTCGAAGTCTGCGCCAAACCGGAACCAGCTGGCGTTTATGCCATAGCAAGATGTCTAGAGCTCGACGACATCGCCCTCGAGGCCGCCAAACTGTGCCTGAGGCAGAGTCTTCCCGAGTTGGAGGAGTCTGATCAATGGCGCCGCGTCGTCGCAGCAGACTTTTGTCGACTTCAGCGTTATCACGTTGCTTGCGGGACATCAGCCGCGGCCGTCGCCGTGTCTCTCGACGGGCTGGCTCCAAGTTGGTATTCGCACGGTACTCAGTCATGGATGGATTGTGCATGCAGACCCTCATCTGTGGTTTGGTTTCATCGCAATGGTGCAAAGAATTGGGTGGGTTGGATGTCAAGCACAGCGCAAAAACTCAGGCACCGTCCAGGCGCCGCATCTTCCACAACAACACTTGACACGCTGTGGAGTTTTGTGGTGACCGAATCGTCGCTTAAATGTCCTTCCTGTCTCCCCAAGCTGCCTGCAGATCTCCCAAAGATGCAGGCATTCTGCGATCAAATGAAAGCCGAGATACAACGCATAATCGACCAAGTACGCAACTCCCTTGAGATTCATCATGAAGGCTAATATCTGTGGTGTAGGTTCCTTTTTATCCCTACCTACCTACAGCATAGCCAACTGTGCCATACATGGACGATTGGTGGGGAATGCACGTATAGCAGAGATTTGCCACAGCTGCCAGCAAAGTGATGGCAGATAGCTGCGAGGTGGCGCCTTCAATCGTTACAGCGATTCGAGAGAGCCTGGGTCAGACCTATGTATAAAACACACCTGTTGTTGCCGTAGCATTGGGATCACGCCGACCTGGATTCATGACATAAAGTTCCCGTAGATCGGGATGTCCGCAATGTGTAATATAGTACACCGCAATATGCCTGTCAACCTTGATAACACCCATTATTCTATGTATCACGCCAACATGCCACCTGCTGTGTACTACATTCGAAACCTCAGCAATAGACCGTCGAATGTGATGTCATGCATGTATGATGCAGCACCATAGGATCCATAACACGCTGATACATCAAGCTTCTGATTTAGTGGCTACAATTGTACAGTTGCCCGTCAGGCGGTATGGCACGGTCACGGGTGGTCAAAGTGCGCACGTGTAGACGACAGGCGCAACTGAGCCTCACTGCTCAATGCCAACTCTCACCGAACCATCACACAAGCATTAAAGTACGAAGTGATCCTCCGTCCTCTCATGGCTATCGAAGAACACGATAATGTGTCATGTGCAGAGGTCCAGTCGTCTCTAACCTCGCACAAAACTGCCTGGCCTTTTGACGACCCAAACGCAGACTTAATCTTGCGCTCCTCCGATGGCATATGGTTTCACGTCCTCTGCCAGATCATGTTGATTGCATCCCCCATCCTCAAATCTCGCATAGAGAATCTCCCCTCTACTCCAGATGTACTCCCAATCCTAGAGATCGCAACACACAGTCAGACACTTGACAAACTCCTACGGTTCTGTTACCCCCTTGAACTCCCTTCATTCTCGGATATCAAACAATCGGAACTGGTGTTAAAGCTCGCTTTGGATTATGACTTCAAGATTGCAGTTGCTTCACTCAGGGCATGCTTATGCAGGAACATAGGTGATCTGTCATTGGACGCGCTTCAAGCATACACATGTGCATGCCGTCTCTCCCTTGATGAAGAAAGATGTCTAGCAATGCAAGCACTAGGATCTTGGGACCCATCAAGCCCTGTATGCAATGATATACCTGCTTCCGACTATATCCGACTCATCCAATATCAACGCAATGCAAAGTCTGAGCGTAAAACATGGGCTAGATGGAGGAGGAACTACCGCAGCTCTTTAGATGCGTTGAAGAATATCCCAAAGGACGTGTAAGCAGTAACTGTGCTAGAATCTGTCCCAGTACGCCCCCCCTTCGACGCCCTGGGCGCAGATGTCATTTTACGCACGTCTGATAACGTGGATTTTCGCGTCTACAAACTGATCTTGTCGCTCGCCTCCCCATTTTTCTCTGATATGTTCACACTGCCCCAAGCAATGGATGCGAACGTTGGGCAGCCGGTACCACCTGTCATCAACATGGCGGAAGATAGCGCCACCATAGACTGTCTTCTCCGGCTTTGCTACCCCCCTTCTACCACTGAAGCACCCTTGGACGGTGATCTCCATAAACTGTTTTGTGCACTGGCCGCGGCGATAAAATACGATATGCCGGCTGCAACATCTGAAAAAATCTTTATCTATATAGCTGCCCCTCAGAACTATGGACACTATTGGAGTGCTATGGATGCTATATAGAAGTTGCCCAGATGCTATGTAGTGCTATGGTTGCTATGTAGAAGTAGGACAGTTGCTATATAGTGCTATATAGTAATTATAGGTAATATAGTTCAAAGTACTAGCTACATAGTGATACATAGCTCATAGGTGCAGTCAATATAGCACCCATAGATTTGGTATGTATCTGTATAGTAATGATAGCAGGTCTCCCAATGCACAAATACCATGATTGAAACCAGACTCAGGTCTTGAATGATAATATTAGCCACTCTATATACTATTAGACTGATACATACTTATAACTATCTACAAAGTGATTAAGTTTGTGCTATCTGGAAGGCAGGGACAGTGGCCCAAAGCTGACTTAGACGAATCAACGCGGCTGACACCGGTCAC